TCCATTCCGTATCCCGGATATCCACCGCCACGTCTTTTCTTTTCTATTGCATACACATATTGAGTCTAACGATTCATTTTTTATCGTAGCACGCAGCCAACTTCAAGGTCGCGGGGATAGTAACCTTTCACAAACGCACTTTGTACGTTTGTTTCAAGTTAATCTCCCCAAGAATTCTGGTTTGGTAAAAAAATCAAGTGTCGTTGGAGCGCCGCCGAATAAAATACACTTGGTGTTTGGATAGGAGGCCCCGACGCCGTTGACGAAACGTGCACCGGCGCATGTCCTTGGGCACGGTCGAGAAAAAATGTAGGATCCTTTTTTGCTTCAAGGTCGCATGTTCCAGCGGCGAGCGGCCAGCCCGCCCGCGGTGCTGCCCGCCATGGACGCAGCGGATACGTATGGCTTCGCCGAAGGGCAGGTGCTGTATACTGAGGACGACGAGGCGAACGACGGGCTGCCGTCGGCAACCGGCGACCTGTACTTTGCGGTCGACGAGCGAGCCGACGAGTCGCTGCACATGCTGGCAGCGCCCGTGCCGTACCCGTGGATACCGACGCCAAAGCACGCAAAGCGCAAGCGCCAAAACCACTTGACCATATCCGTGCACACGGAAAGCTCGTCCAGCGACCACGAGTCGCCGCGCACCATTGCGCCGACCCGTCTTGAAGCGCTCATGGCGCCAGTGCTGCCACCCCAACCCGTCGTCGCCAAGGAGCGCCGACACGACACGCTCTTGGCGCGCGTCCGAAACAAGATTCTCTCGCGGCAGGCAGAGGACAGCTCGCGCCTGCGCCAATCGCTGGATCGCGACTACTTGGCGCCCGACACGAGCGACTCGGGCGAAGATACGTTGGCTCTCGTCGCGCCGCTGCTGCTGCCTCCTCCTGCGTCGTCGTCGGACAAGATAAGGATGGCACCGGTATTGCACGACCCGCGCCACCGGCAACTCAAGGCCAAGCCGCCAACATGCGACTCGCCGGAGCCGCCGCGTCCGTTACCAGACCCGCCGACGTCGTTTTTTCTGCCATTCGTGCATGTGGTGCCGGTCAAGCGCGTCTTGCCGCCGGCAATGGCTCACGGTGGCGCCACCAAGAAGAGCAACCCGCGCACGATCTACAACTGCGTCAAGTGCGGGCGCATGAAGCGCGCGCACATGTGCGCCTTCCCCGACAACGTGCGCTCGATGGGCACGACGATGCTGGCGACCACGACGCCGCGCGACCACCTCTCGCGCTACTACAAGTGCGGCCGCGTGCTCGTGTGCCGGAAACGACCGCCGCCCTCAAGTCCAACGAATAATGCGTCGCCAAACAGATAGTTGTGGACCTTCATTCAAGACTCGAAGACTACGAGACGCTCGCGGTCCCAAACGACCCGTTCAGCGCGTTCTCGAGCTCTTCGTACGCTTGCTTTTGCAGGTGCTGCGTGTTTCTTAACCGCTGGATGAGCTCCATCTCGAGCTTCTCCATTTCCTGGACCTATAAGACGTCTAAGCAACTCGATTGTGTACACTACGACGCGTACCTCGAGCTCCTTCTCGTGAAAGACCTGCTCCTCGCGCTTGACAATGCCGTCGGCGCGCGCCTTGTTGGCGCGCTCGAGCTCGGCCTACGCCACCGCCATGCGCATGTGCATTCCGATTCTTGACGCACCTGCTTGGTGCGCTTCGTGCGGCGCAGCTGGTCTTGCTGCTTGACAATGTCATCGTGTCGGCGCATCGCGTCTTCGAGCTCTTGGCGCTTCTTGGTCTCTGTGTACTGCCGCCACTTTTGCTTGTCTTCCTTGAGTTGCTGCGCTTCCGTGCGCTTTTGCTCAAGGATCGCGGCGTCAATCTCCTTCTATCGCTTTGTTCAGCGACGCATGTAGCGTGGACGCGTGAACCTTCTCGGACGCGAGCACGACTTCGCGCTTGGCCTGCTGGATCGTATGGAGCTCGCGCTCGGCCTGGGTCATGAGCGCGTTGCGTTCGCGCGCGTACTGGTCCTTCTCCTGGCGCAGCTTGAGCAGCTCCTGTGCCCGCTTCTTGGTCTGCTCAATCTTCTTCCATGCCCGCGCTTCCTCGGCCTGCGACACCATGATGAGACGACGATGACGAACCGGGTGGGGTACCTTGAGGAGCGAGATGCGGTTCTGCAGCAGCATTGCATCGCTCGAGACATCCTTCCGCCGCTAGCTCGCGCATGAGGACCTGCGCCTCGCGCCGTGACGCACCTGCTTGGCTTCGAGCAGCTTGGACTTGGTCTGCGACTCCATGAGACGATGGGAAATGAGCCGAGATTGCCGTTGCGCCTATTTATAGCCAGCACCAACGGCCTGGTATACTCAACCCAAGATGATTTCATCCTAAGGTCTTATTGACTTGACCTTTGTAACTTAGGCTTTCGATACAAACATCCAGTGTATTTGCTGGCACGCGGCAACGCATGTTGAACTTTCCACAAAGCCAACGAAAAGGATCGCTTTCCAGCAACCTCCTACAGTGAGATGCGCGGTCCTCCTGGTCGGCCAAGTCTGTAACAATCGGCGGGATGTCGCCCGCTGGCTCGTCCCCGGCACACTGTCGTTGGCGCGTGTGGCAACCTTGGACCCAACCAAGGCAGAGCGAAGGCACACCTCGAGGGCAGCTCCTTGCCCCAAGTACAGAGGAATGGCGATGAAGACAACCACAGCTCCGTCTAGAATGCAAAATATGTAATTAATCTATTGTTTAAGAATGGCCGGGCCGCGCCTTCTTGCGGCGCTCCTGGGCAGCGGCGACCTTTTGCGCCTTGTTCTGCGAGCCCTTGAGCTCGCCGATCTTGCGCTTCTTGAGCTGCTTGGAGTTTTGCTTTTGGAGGTTCTTGGCCAATTTGCGCTTGGCGGCGACTTCGGGCTCGGCGACGACTTCGATCTTGCGCTTGAGCTTGCGCCGGTCGCGGAACTCGGTCACCTTCTTCTGCACGTGCGTGTACGTGGTCAGGAACGGCTGCGACTCGACCTTGGCTTCGAGCAGCTGGAGCACTTCGCGCGCCACGTTCTTGACGTTCTTGGTCTCGGCCGAGTCGGACTCGACGTCGTCGGCCGACGTATCGCGGTAGAGCGGGTTGAGCATCTGCAAGAGGACCGTCTCGAGGAACGCCGCGTCTTCCTGGACGGCGACGCCGGCGAAGAAGTTGTACACGCTCGTCTTGCGCAGCGCAATGTCAAACCCGCGGGCCAGGAACGAGAGACGCGTAAAGAGCCACGCCACAGGCGTCGTCGTCGGCTTAGCCTCCTCCTCGTCATCGTCCTCGTCGTCGCTGTGCTTGGTCGCTTCGTCGGCGTCCTTGGTGGCAACCACCTTTTGGTCGATCTCCGGGAAGCTCCGAAGCGCGCGCAGAATAAATAGCAGCAGCGTCACAACTTCCGAGGCAAGGTCCGCCGCGAGATGGTCGCTCTCGAGCTGCTTGCACGCCATGTGCGCCAGCTGGAAGAGCTTCCCAGGCGTCTTCAAGTACGCGCCGCCGTCCTTGTCGGCTTCCGCGACAAACAGAAGCGTCGAGCCCGACCGCTTGGCAGCGTACGCACTCATAAAGCGCGTCGCCGCGAGACGCACCCACGCGTGCGGATACGCCATGAGCGCGACGACCGTGTCGAGGCACGAAGCGTGCTCGAGCAGCCACGACTCAAGCGACGGCGAGAGCGCGAGAAGGACCTTCTCGAGGCAGAGCAGCGTCAAGTAGACCGGTTCCCACGTGAGCTCCTGGATCTCGTCCTCGTCGAGCTCGCCCATGTGCGTGGTCGCATGCGTGAGCAGCGACGCGATCTGCGACAGAAGCGGCGTCACCAAGGTCTTCTTGGCAAGATCGGGCCGCGCGACGACCACGAGGCTGCTCACGTGCGCGGCAGCACACTGAAGCTTGGCGTCCGACGCCGTCCACCACGGCTCCATGGTGGCGAGGCACGCGCCAAACGTCTTGGCGCTCACACGCTGGAAGAGGTGCGAGATGACGTCGGCCGCGAGCGCCCGGCACACTTGGGCCTCGTCGTTCACGAGGCGCAGGACGAGCGGGAGGAGGAAAAACTGCGCGCGGGCATCGAGGAGGTCGGACGGCAGCTTCTTCACGAGCGCGTTGAGGCACTCAAGCGTCGAGATGCGGCCCGACTCGTACACGAACGTGAGGTTGCTCACAATGAAGCGCACGTGGAAGTTGAGTCGCTTGTCGCCGAGCGGGTAGTCGAGAAGGAACGTGAGGTACATGGCCGCGCAGTTGGAGCGGACGTTGAGCACTTGGCTCTGCACCATCATCTCACCGACACGGAGCATGAGGTCGTACACTTCAGGGATCACGAGGCGGCGCGCGAGGAGCGCTTTGAGGAGCGCAAACGTCGCGTTCTGGTGGTCCATCTCGTCGAGGTCTTGGCGCAGAAAGCTCAAAAGCACGCGCAGCTGCGACTCGGACATGACATACTCGTGGCGCTCGCGGATCAGAATCGCCAGCGCACGGTAGCACGTCTGCGTCATCTCGTTCTTGGTCGCGGCACCCGCGCGCTGGATGATCTTGAAGATGCGATCGACAATTGTCGAGAGCGATGCGATGAGCGACGGCACCGGGTGGTTGAGCAGCACCGAGATGCACTTGAGCGCGTTCACGACCGACTCGTTGTGCTTGATTTCCGCGAGGCACCGAAGCAGGAATGGCACAAACGGATCCAGCAGCGCAAACGAGAGGCCCGTGCGTTCTTCCTTGCGGAGCATCGTGTAGAAGAGCGAGACCGTAAAGTTCATGATCTCGTCCGCGCCCGAGTTCTTCATCTCCGTCTTGGTGACCGCGTACCGATCGTAGCCCGTCATGCGGGCCTGGGCTTCAATCTTGAAGGTTTCCCACGCCTGCACGCGCTTCGTGAGCTTCGCCTTCTTCTTCTCGTCGCCGACCCAGTCGCAGACGAGCCACGATGAGACGCCGTCTTCGTCGACCGTCTTGTTGTCGTCCGCGCCCGGCTGGAGATACTTGATGCGCTCAAAGCACATGGTGAGCATGTTGAAGATGTACAAGTACATGTGCGACTGCTCGACGCTCTTGTTCTTGGCGAGGCCTAGCGCGATGCGCTGGAGCACGTTGCGGACGTTCAAGAGCGCCTTGCCATTCATGCGGTTGCTCTCGAGCGTCTGGACGATCGGCAGCAGAAGCACGTGGATCGTCGGGTTGGGCAGAAAGTTGATGCAGCGCGCGACCAGCTCAAACGAGTCGTAGCTGCGGCACGACCGCGCCTCCTTCATTTTCGACTTGGTCTTGTGCTCCGCCTTGTCAGACCGGTGCTCGCTCACGTCGCCAAAGAGGTCGCGCACGAGGATGTTGAGGATCTTGGGAATGCACTCGTCGAGCGGCGACAAGACCGGCGTCGACGCCACGGCCATGCCCGACGACGTCAGCGGCGCCGGCGTCTCTTGGTAGCACGACTCGGCAACCTTTTCGAGGATCGCAAAGAGCGTGTACGAGAGCACGTGGACCATGTAGCCCATCGAGAGCGACTGCTCGAGCTCCGAGACGATCGGGAGCAGATACGACGGACCGAGCTCGAGCGCAATCTTGACCAGCGTCTGGCGCGACGACGATCGGACGCTCTCGTCCTTGGAGCGCTGGAGCTTGGTCACTTGGATGAGCAGCTTGGGCAGCTCGGCGTGGAACGCGCGCGGCGGGAGACGGCGCAGCACCTTGACGATCGCAAGGGCGACCGGCACACGCAGCACGTAGTCGCCCGTCGCCGTCGACTGGCCGTCCGTCGTCTTGTCGTTGGTCTTGGACTTGCCCTTCTTGCGCTCGCCCTTGGTGAGGTGGCTCTTGAGCATCGGCACGAGCGAGTCGCGCATGACTTGCTGGATGTGCGTCGGCGCGATCTCATCGTCGTCCGCCTCACTCTTGGCCGCTGCCGCAACCTTGTCCCAGCCCTCGCAGACCACCGAGCCCTCAAAGTGGAAGTGGTCGATGATTGCACAGACGGCCGCGACGATCGTGGTTTCACATTCCGGGCGACCGGGGATCTGCTTGAGGAGGTTCCGGATGAGGCCGTAGTAGTGCGACCACGAGAGAAGGGACGCAGCCGACCCGAGGCACTGCGCCGCGTCGGTGGCCATGGCCTCGTGCGCCTTGTTGCCGTTCTCGTAAATGACGTGCGTCAGCAGCGGCACAATCACGTTGAGAACCGTCGTGTTGCTCAGCGGCAGCTTCTCGTTCGCAAAGCTCGACCGCAGCCGCTGGATCGCGCGCGACCGGCGGTGCGACTGGATGTGCGTCATGTTGTAGAAAAAGTCGACTTCCGGGTCCTCTCTGTTGCGGAGA